TTGATAACCAGGCCTAGGGACTGTTTGTCAGGTTTCTCCACTGTGTGGTTCCTCCCCACCCCCTTCCCTACGGTGTTCTTTGGAAGGAAGTCATGATGCTTAAGGAGTGAATGAGTGTGCTCCACCTTCTTAGGGCAGCATACATCCATAAATTATTTGGAATTCTTCTGCATGAAAGATTTGTCTATTCTACCCCAATTAGTTATTTAATAATTTATTTATATTAGTATGGACTCATGGATATTTTTAATAATTTAAAAATTATTTGAGTTAAAATCTAATACTAGGTTATTGTTGATCAAACTTCTCCAGTTTTGCCATTGGGAGCTCTTTCAGTTGGTCCCTGTGTCTCTGACATACCTCCATAACTTTGCCTTTATGGAGACTTCCTTACTTTCTAACACTATAAGATGCTCCAGGCTCATCTTGTATATCCCAGTCCTAGAATCAGCCGTTTCTCCAAGGAGCCCTGGATCCTTTTTATTGGAGCGTGATAATAGAAACCAAGATCTGGGCAATAGGTGCATTCGTTGCTACCAGGGTCTTATTGCTTCTAAGGCCTCTCAAATGACAGAGCAAGAAAATATATGTGTGTATACTAACTTGTGTACACACATATCTCTAAATATTTCTAGACGTAGCCATATTTATCTATATTAAGCTAAACGGGAGTTCATACTGATATCTCCAGCTCTAATCTATTACTGCATGGATTATTCTAATCTCCTCCTATTGCTTATATGTAAACTAACACTCCATTAGTGAGAAACCTGGCTCCAGCCATCCACCATCCATTTATGTAATTGTTATATATATTGAGTAGTTTTACAATTGTTAACCCTTACCCAATGGGAAACACCATATCAGCTAGAGTTCAGTATTTACGTACAGTTCCTTTTGCTTTTAGTCCTAAGTCTCCACTCATTTCTAAAGTTACTCTCCCACTCCCTTCAGTGAAGTTACTTCATCCATTGGTAATACAGTTAAATTCTCTTGTCGATATTCAATCCTGGGATTCTCCAACCTCCTAAGTGATTTTTTAAATTTACACAAATTAAAGTTCATTCTTTGCTCTGTAAAGTTCTATGAGTTTGATAAATGCATAGTATCCATTATTATAGCATCATATAGAATAGCTTCACTGCCTTAAAAAAAAAAAATCATCTGTGCTTCATCTTAGTCAAGTCTCCTCCCTCTCCAAACCCCTGGCAACCACTGATCTGTTTACTGTCTCTACATTTTGCCTTTTCTAAAATGTCATATAAATGGAATCATAAAATCTGTACCCTGTTAAGACTGGCTTCTTTCACTTAGCAATAGACATTTAATATTTACCCATATTTTTGCATGGCTAATTCCCTTTTATCACTAAATAGTATTCCATTGACTGGATTTACCACTGTTTATCCTTTCACTGAAGAACATCTTGGTTGCTTCCAGTTTGGGGTAATTATGAATAAATTTACTATAAATATTCATGGACACACTTTTGTATGGACGTAGTTTTCAAATCAGTTGGATAAATACCTAGGAGTATGACTGGGTCGTATGGTAAGACTATATTTCACTTTGTAAGAAACTGCCAACTGGTCTTCCAAAATGGCTGCACGGTTTTGCATTCCCACCAGCAATATACGTTCCTGTTGCTTCACGTTTTCTCACCAGCAATGGGTAATGTCAGTGTTTTGGAATTTAGCCATTCTAATATGTGTGTAGCAATATTGCATTTTTAAAAAATAAATTAATTTATTTATTTATTTTTGGCTGTTTTGGGTCTTTGTTGCTGTGTGCAGGCTTTCTCTAGTTGTGTCAAGCGGGGGCTGTTCTTCACTGTGGTGTGCGGGCTTCTCATTGCAGTGGCTTCTCTTGTTGTAGAGCACGGGCTCTAGGCACATGGGCTTCAGTAGTTGTGGCACAAGGGCTCAGTAGTTGTGGCACATGGGCTCAGTTGCTCCGTGGCATGTGGGATCTTCCCAGACCAGGGCTCAAACCCATGTCCCCTGCATTGGCAGGCAGATTCTTAACCAGTGTGCCACTAGGGAAGTCCCTGCATTGTTGTTTTAATTTGCATTTCCCTAATGACAAATTATGTTAAACATCTTTTCATATGCTTATCTTCTATAGATAATTTTTATTTTTAAATCATTGCAAATCTACAGAAAAATGACAAATACGGTATAAAGAACTTCACTATTCTTGAACAATATGAGAATAAGTTGCTGGCTTGATACCCTGTCACTCCCCAAAACCTGAATGTGTATTTTCTACAAACAAAGACACTCTCCTAAATAACCATAATACATAGCTGAAACTGGGAAATTAACATTGATGCATTACTCACATCTACTCCTCAGACCTTATTCAAGTTTCACCAGTTGTTTCAATGACATCCTTTATACAGAAGGATTGAGTCCAGCATCTTGTGATGCACTTAATTGTCACATCTTCTAGTCTCCTTCGATCTGGAACTGTTTCTACTGTTCCCCAGTCCTTCCTTGACTTTCATGACCTTAATACTTTTGAAGGCTATGGGACAGTTATTTTGTAAGTGTCCCTCAGTTTGGTTTGATTGATGTCCCCTCAGGTTTCGATTCAGTTTTGTATTTTGGGCAGGAAGTTCACAGGGGCTGCTCCTCTAGGTGCATCTTGTCAGGTGGCACCTGATTTCGATTTGTCCCATTACTGATTATGGTAACTTGATTAAGGTGTATCTGTATCTGCCAAGCTTCTTTACTACAAAATTACTCTTTACCTTTGTAATTAATAAACGCTTTTTGTGTGGCAGTGGTGGGGGAGCGGTCTTTGAAACTAAGTAAATATCTTGTTCCTCATCAAACCTCCTCCTACAAGTTCTAGCATCCACTGATGATTCTTGGATGAATTACTCTGCTGGTTGTGAGATGATGCTTTTCTCACTCCATTATTCCTTATATAGTTGGCATTCTGCCATATGGAAGCATTCTACCATTCTCCCCATTTATTAATGTATGGACTCACGGATTTCTCTTTCATTCAGTGGATCATAATGACCCCAGATTTGGCCAGTGGCAGCTCCTTCTGTGTCTGTTTGACATGTTGTATCATTCTTTGGGCACTTCCTTATTTTCTAGCACAAAAAGATATTCCAGGCTCATCTTGTACTTTCCCTGCCCTGCCCTTTTAATGGAGAATGGTATTTAGAAAGCAAGATCTGGACACTAGGGGAACGTATGGCTTTTGGGACGTCATGGCTCCCAGGGACTCTCAGCGAACATGGCTGGGAACAGAGATAGGAAGTAGATGAATGCATATACAGACATGCAAACATACATACACAGTTATACAATACACACACATTTACATCTGCATTTATTTTTATATCTATTTTAATGTATATTGAAAACCATGAATTTACACTGATAACTCCAATTTTCATCTAATCCTAAAGGGTTCTGTTTGTTTGCTAGGGCTACCATAACAAACTACCACAGACTGGGTGGCTTAAACAACAGATATTTAATTTCTTACAGTCTTGGATGCTTGAAGATGAACAGATACGTTGAAGCAAGTATAGTAAATACTAATTGTACCATCTGGGTGGAACATGCACAGGCGTTTACTGTACAATTCTTTGAATTTTTCTGTATATTTGACGTTTTTTACAATAGAATGTTGGTAAGGGAAAGAGTAGGGGCCACTGTGAATAAGAGAAAAAGCGCTAGCTAGCATTCATCTTGTACTACAGTGTGCTGGGCCTTGTGCCAAGCACTGTTACAATCATCTCACTTAATTTTCCCAATAGCCCCATATTATTATTTTCTGGTGCTATTATTTTCTCCATTTTATGGCTAACAAATCTGAGGCTCAGAGAGGTTAAGTCACTCATCTAAGGTAACAATGCTTGTAAACAGAGGCGGGACTCCAGTTCAGGTATGTGTGATTCCATAACTGATGCTCTTAACTCTCTCACATCTAGAGTACCAGCATTCCTGTCCAACCTCCATCCATTTCTTTGATAAAAAGAGAAAGTTAAAACTCAGTAAATGGCTTCTAACGACTCCTTGATTTTTACACTTCTCCACTATGGAACTGTACTTTTATAGAAGGAAAAATAAAGTTCTTATTTAAGTTCTCTTCCTTCAGGGATGGGAGTCTCCCTCCCAGCAACCTTGGCAGTTGTACATTCTTTTCCAGGTGCTAAGAAAACTGGTAGTAGTGAGTTGTCATGTTTGCTGTCTCCACTTGTTCTAGCTGGACTCTGAAAGTAAGGTAGGGCAGGCTCTTTTTATGCATGAGAACACTGTGAGGCTCAGAGACTTTAAATATAGTGACCAAGTCACCCAGGATTACGGGACAGGACAGATCTGGCGCTCAAGTCTGGGGCTTTGGACTTGGCATTTCTCTTAACTGGTCTCCAGACTGGTTTCCGTCTAAACCAATCCTGACAATTAAGCAGCACTTGCTCTTAGAGGCCCGCGGTTACCGTGGGTATTTTCCGGGGAGTCGTACTTCTCCATCTGCACTCCTCGCCTGGCTTAAATTCCCAGAAAGCTTTTGAGCGGCGAGCAGGGATCTGAGCCGGTCGTCGATGTGCGCTCTTGGTCACCTGAGCGCCTTCCCAGAAAGGGCTGTTTTCTGTCTAGGTTTCCGTTCTCACAGAAGGCCTGTAAAACGCCTGGATGTCCCATCCCGTGCATCGTTGTATCCCTAGGGAGGCTGTGGCAGAGACCTGGGTGTGCCGATCTTCCCCAGCAGGAAAGGCAGAGAAGAGGCCCCGAGAGGAGGAAATGCTTTGTCAGTGCTCCTCAGGGCTGCAGCCTGGGCGGGGCCGGCCTCCCTCGTGCCCTGACACCCCCGGGGCGGAGCTGGGGGCCCTGCGCGCGCCATCTGACCATTTGACCTGAGCCACTAACCCCAGACCCGCCCGTACTCAGCCGGGCCTTCGTTATGGGCCCGAGTCTCGCCGCCACACAGCTCAGCCCGAGCGCCCCACTTGGAGGCTGCGGCCCACGGAGGTGGAGTGATTGGGCCGGCTGGACGGCCCCACCCGGGGCCCAGAGGCGCGGCGCTCGCGGCCCACGCGGGGCGGGCGGGCCTGGGGTCGTCGGCTGGCGTGCCCGAGGGCTTTCACCAGCAGAGCCGCCGTCCGAGGTTCCGGTCTCCGCCTGGGGCCGCCTGAGCACTGCGGCTTACTGGGCTGCTCGGGATGACGTGGGGGGAGGGGGAAGAAGCAGCTGCGCCGCGGCTGCTCGCGGCCAGAGCCCGAGGCGGGGTCGGTTTCTTGGCAACGGGGCCCCTCTCGGGTCGCGCCCACCCCCTTCTTGGTCGGTCTCCCCTCCCCCATTGAACCTCCGCGGAGTCAGAGCCCCGGGACCCGAGGCGGAGCCCAGGTGTGGCCTGGGGGGGCGCGACTGGCGTGGGAGGGGTGACCCCAGGGCTGCCCAGCTGCGGGCCGGCGTTTGTCCGGCGGGGCTGCGCTGGGGGCAGGGGACCCGGAGGGCCCGAGGTGGGGGCGACAAGTCTGTTTCCGCCCGGCCTCCGCCTGCTCCGGCTAAAACGAGTCTTTCCGGTGGGGCTGCCCAGCCGGGTCCGCCCTCCCTAGCCTCCCGGAACCCGCCCGGAAACGTGCAGTACCCCGCCCGGGCCGAGGGCGAGAGCAGGCCGGTGGGTGGAGCGCTTGGAGAGGCGGGAGAGCCCGGGTCCTGGGTTCCAGCCCGGGCCAGGAGCCCCGGGGCCCCTCTTTCCATTCCGGTGAGTCCCCAGGGCCACCCTGACAGACGGTTTTGGAAAAGCTTCCTGGGTGATTCTGGGAATCAAGGGTCCAAACTAACCTTATTACTTTACAGCTGGGAAAACGGAGGCACAGACTGTCCCAAGGCCGCACCAAAAATTAGCAAACCACGAGGAAGCCAAGGGAAAGCCTATGGGGAGAGACCCGACAGAGACCGGGATTTTTCCCAGGCCCTGAGTCCTGGGGGTCTGGAGTAGACAAGAGGGGCTACGAAGGCCTGGGCGCCCGCTGCCCCGACAGCTTCCCCGAGGGGTGGACCGAGCTGGATCACCGCGACGGCCCCCAACCTCACGAAATTAATGAGGAAGATGCCTTTCTTTCCTCAGTCGAGGAGTAGAGATTCCGTTTAACCTCTGCAGACAGTACGACAGGGACCACTCTCCCTCCCAGCCTGGCGCCAGCAGGAACCCGAGGGCATGTCAACAGGAGCCAGGAACTGGAGGCGAAGCATCCTTCATTTCCTCTGCAGCGGTGGAACAAGTGAGGTCTCCGATTGCCAGAGTCTGGTTTTTCAAAATCATAGCATGCTGGCACCGAAAGCGGGGGTACCCTGAAGGACTCTTTTATCTGCTTAACCTTGAATCAGGCTTGCAATCAGCATTTGATCAAAAAGCTTGGCCAGTTTCTCAAAATGCAAAATCAATCGCCGATTTTACTTTTTTACTTGGCATTTCCTTGGGATAGTCTCGGTTCTGGGGATGAAAGATTATAAACTGTTGTCTTAAATTCTGTCCTGATTAGCATCTTTCCTCAATTCAAGATTTCCCTGGAGCCAGATCTTTGCAGCTTCAGGATTATGACTTTTTTAAAATATAAGTTTGATGAATTTTTATCGGTTCTCTAAATTAGAAACTCCCTTAATTACAGGAGAAAACATTTTCAAAGAGAAAGGGTAGACCTTTAGAACAAACCCGGGAGCAATGCTTCTAAAGAAAATCTCAGGGCAGGCAGGTCCTCAGAACCAAGTGAGATGGTCTTTTCTGCAGCCGTCAGGCCCACCGTTTTTCAGTTAACTCTTGACTAGAAAATAAAGAATAAATGAAGGTTTGCTTAAAGCTGTTCATCCTCCTGCAGAGGATTCTAACTTGAGAGAAAGCATGGTCTTGGTTAAATTGTTTTAAAATTGGGCTTGGGTGGCCAGATGGTAGATGAGGGGAAATTTCCCCTTGTAAAAGTATTTCCAGTTAATAAATGAAGAAAGAAAGAACATCACCATTTTGTATTCCTAATTAATTAATGGATCTAGGCATGATCAGCTATGGCTACTAAGTCTTGAAAAGAGAGAACCCACATGATGTGCTAATGGAAAAACTCAGCACAAACTCTGAAGTCATCTTGACGCTCCTTACAGCCCTGCCCCCACACAAATCAAAGCTGCATCTGATCAAGCCTCATCTGGATCAACAACACTACGGGAACATAATCAAAACTATCCACATCTTGGGAAACTACAAGTGACTCAATTCTTTAATAATTATTTGCAAGGAAAATATTGCATTTAGATTCTAAATCAAATGGTAAAAAGAAAAAAGTGACATTCACAGGACACTTGTAAATTTGAACACCAGTGTGGTATTTGATATTTAAAAAGTATTATTACATTATTTCAGAATGATAATATGGTTACATTTTTAAGTATTTAAAAATATTTTAACATTTTCGATGTATTTTGGAAATATGTGCTAAAATATTTACAGATGATATGATATCTAGATTTTATTTCTAAATAGTTTTATGTAGGACTCTCCTGGTGGCACAGTGGTTAAGAATCCGCCTGCCAATGCAGGGGACACAGGTTCGATCACTGGTCCGGGAAGATCCCACATGCAGCAGAGCACCCAAGCCTGTGTGCCTCAACTACTGAGCCTGCGCCCTAGAGCCCATGAGCCACAACTACTGAGCCCGTGTGGCTAGAGCCCATGTTCCGCAAGAGAAGCCACCGCAATGAGAAGCCCGCGCACCACAATGAAGAGCAGCCCCCGCTCACCGCAACTAGAGAAAGTCCGCATGCAGCAACAAAGACCCAATGCAGCCAAAAAGAAAGAAATTTATTTTTTTTAAAAAAAGATCTAAATAGTTTTATGTAGTAGTAAGGAAAGTAGGTGAAGGTATAGATGGAAACAAGGTTGAATATTAGTAATGAGTACATGGAGGTTCATTTTATTATTCTTTTTTTTTAATGTTTAAATTTTTTTTATCTTTTACTTTTTGCAGGGCGTTTTCAAACTTGGGAACCTGCCTTGAAGCCTGACTAAATTGTCTGGGTTGGAGCTCAGGACGACTGGCCCATGTCTTGCTCTGTGAAATTACACATGTCATTTCTCACTTGTCCGTTCAAGAAACACTATGGAGGACCTTCTGTCTGCTTGAGATTTTGCAATTATGGAGCTGACACTTCAGATTAGAAAATAACAAAGAAGGAAGCCACCAAATGGAAGCATGGAAGGCTTTGCAGAAGAATTGATGTTTGATATGGGTTCTGACAGATGAAAAGGAGCTCCCTGGGTGGTGTCAGTTCATCTTCTATAAGATAAGGTGGTTAGACTAGGTCTACGTGGAGGACCCATTTAATCCTAATAGATTCTGTGGTTATAACCTGCCCGTAATCAACTTTTTCTTCTCTGTGTGTCCCTCGAGGGAGTTGAAAGACCACCATGGACTTCCTGTCATCATTCTTTATTTTGTTAGCTGAAGCAATCCAAATTGAGCTGTTGGTCTTGAGTCTCCCAGTTGTGTTTGGAGGCCAAAGCATTATCATGTTAACCAGTCTGTAACCTTCTTAGGGATTGGTCTCTTGGGCTCATAGATTTATTTCCATCCATCTAGTTCCCAAGGCATTTCACTTAGTTACTGTAGCTATACCAAGCTATACCAAGGCCCAGCCATTTTGATGAGCCATTTGCTCATCAAAACATGGGTGCCTGTAGTTGATACCCTCAGCCTTCCCAACTGCTTTTATCTTCCCTCTCTTCCTGTAGGACATGCAGTTCAATATTCAGCATGCATCCTGGCCTTTGGGTTAATTGTTCATCCTGATACTCTGCCAAAACAGGTCGAACTTTGTGCTTTGATGGCCTTTTCACCCATGTGACATGAACCATCTGTTGGGGCAAAGCTTAAAACAGCAATTGTCATTTGACAAGTAGTTGGCAGTATCACATCTCTACTCTGTTATGGAAAATTATTTTTCTGTTTTCATCTTCTCAGTTTTTGTGGATGTTTGTACTTTAAAAGGACAATTTCTGAAACTTCTGGAGAAGTAAGATAAGACTGTTTAAATTTGGTTGCTATATGTTTGTTGAATGAGTTTGCCTGGGCTATCGTGCTGAGTCTAATATGTTGTCTTTTTAGGGACCTGGCTGCATCTAGCCGTGTGATCCAGAGCCTGGTGGAGGGCTGGGAATGCTAGCAGCTCCTCTAACTCTTACTACTATAAACCAGAGGTATACTTCACTGTGGGAAAAATATTGGGAAATTAGCTGTGATATATTGTATGTTTCCAGTGATTGCTCAAAAGCTTCTTATACTCATTTAATTAGAATAATTTACCTTAATAGAAAACTATAATTTTCTACTTTTTCCAATCAGTTGAACCAATGTGTACTTTTTTTTAACCCACTCAGATGGAATTTATTACACCAAAGCTAATACCCTAAACCTGAATTTTTGTGCTAACCATCATTATAACTGAGCAATTATGCTATAGGAATAGTTGAGACCTCTGCTTCTGGCTCTGAACACCAGCCTGGATCAAACCAAACCTCCCACCTCAAACAAGCAGAACAGCTGGATAATTTAAAAAATCTGTCTGACAGTAAGAACCTGAGAGGGCAAGATCCTGGAGAGAATGGAAACATAGAAAGGTGAGCCTGACATTTGACATTTGTCTTAGCTTGGGCTGCTATAAAATATACCATAGACTGGGTGGCTTAAACAACAGACATTTATTTCTAACAGTTATAGAGGCTAAAAGTCCAAGATCAAGGTGTCAGCAGATTTGGTTCTTTGTGAGGGCTGGCTGGCAGATTGCCACCTTCTCTCTGTGTCCTCACATGGCAGAGAGAGGAAGTTCTGGTGTCTCTTCCTCATCTTATAAGAGCACTAATCCAGGGACTTCCCTGGTGATCCAGTAGTAAAGAATCCGCCTTCCAATGCAGGGGATGCGGGTTCAATCCCTGGTTGGGGAACTAAGATCCCCCATTCCGCGGGGCAACTAAGCCCACACACCACAACTACTGAGCCCACTTGCCTCAACTAGAGAGAGAAAACCTGCACACCACAACTAGAGAGAAGCCCATGTGCGCTGCAACAAAGAGCCTGCAACAAAAAGATCCTGCTTGCCGCAACGAAGACCCTGCATGCCACTACAAAGACACGATGCAGCCAAAAAAAAAAAAAAAAAGCGCACTAATCCAATCATAGAGGCTACACCCTCATCACGCCATCTGAACCTAATTACCTTCCCAAGGTTTCATTTCCTTATATCGCCACGTTGGGGGCTAGGGCTTCAATATATGAATGGGGGGGCACAAATATTTAGTACATAACAGCACTATTTTCCCTTCAAGGCATTTACCTCTTCACTGCCTCTTCAAGGCAGTGATTTCAGTGCTAAGAAGCTGAGCAAAGCTTTGGCAATCTCAGAGAGGCCCTGGTAATATCCTAGGCTTTTGGTTAGGACCTTTGAAAGGTTATACCAGTAGTAAGGGCAAATCAAAAAAGGACCAACTCTCACAAAGGTACAGCTTTGACTCAAACCAGATTAAGATGGTCTGCCTCTATACTAACTGCATTACAAAGCAAAAGAAAATCTCTGGAGAAACATAGCATCATCCACAATACCACATTGATTCTATAATTTTTCATGTACAACCTGTAGCTGTTGATCAAAATTTACTAGGCATACCAGGAGACAAGACCAAGTCACCCTAAACCAAGAGAAGAAATAGTTAATATAAACTGACTCACAGAAATCCAGTTATTAGAGTTATCAGATATAGACAAATATAGATAGAATAACCTCTGATCAATACATTCAAGGGGATTAAAGACAAAATGGAAAATTCCAACAGGTAATAGAAGTATATAAAAAAAGAATCAATAGAAATTTTATAACTGAAAAAGTGTAATTAAAAGTAACAGGTGAGTTCAAAGAAGATTAGACACAGATGAAGAGAGGATTCGTGAATTGGAAGATAGAAAAAAATATCCAAAGTGATGCATCAAGAGACAAAAGAATGGAAAATACAGAAAGAGTATGTCGTATTTTGGACATAGTGAAAAGGTTTTAACATAATTGTAGTTGAAGTCCCAGAAGAGGACAGGGAGAGAGAGAATTGAACAGAAGCAATATTTGAATAGATAATGGCCAGGAATTTTCCAAAGTTGTTGAAAGACATAAATCCACAGATTCAAGAATCCTTTTAGAGCCCTAAGCAGTATAAATATAAAGAACATCACACTTAGACACATCAGAGTAAAACTACCAAAAATCAAAGAATAAGAGATAATCTTAAAAGTAGCCAAGTAAAATGACAGATTACCTTCACTGGAACTGTCATAAGACTTAGTGCTAACTTTAACAGAAACCATGAAAGCCAGAAGACAATGAAATAACATCTTTACAGCACTGAAAAGCTAATCTAGAATTTTTTAGATGGGATCTTCGTTGTGGCTTGTTGGATCCTTAGTTTTGGCATGGGGAGTATTTAGTTGCAGCATGCAGGTCTTTAGTTGTGGCCTACAAACTCTTAGTTGTGGCATGTGAGATCTAGTTCCCTGACCAGGGATCAAACCTGGACCCCCTGCATTGGGAGCATGGAGTCTTAGCCACTGGACTACCAGGGAAGTCCCTGGAATTTTTTAACCAATAAAAATACTTATCAATAATGAAGGTTAAATGAGGTTATTCTTAAAATGGACAAAAAACAAGAGCATTTGTTACTAGCAGATATCTACTAAAAGAAGTACTAAAGGAGATTCTTTTAGGCAGAGGGAAAATTGTCATAGGTGGAACTTTAGAAATGCCAAAAGGAATGAATGTAGAAAGCTGCAGAAAGAGAAAATAAGTGGGTAAATCTGACCAAAATAATATCTTGTGGGGTTTTAAATACATATAGAAAAACATTTTAACAATATATATATATATAAGAATAAAAATGTATGATAGCAATAGAACAAGAAGTGGGAGGGGAGTGAATAGAGTTAAGATGTGTTAAGGTTCTTACACTGTTCAAGAACTAGTAAAATTACGAATCTTTTTTTTTTATTTTAATAAATTAAGATGCATTTTATAATGTCTCAGTGTGCTTGGGCTACCATAACAAAATAAGATCGACTGGATGGCTTAAACAACAGAAATTTATTTTCTCACAGTTCTGGAGATTGGAAGTCAGAGATTAGGTTGCCAGCATGGTCAGGTTCTAGTGAGGGCTCTCTTTATGTTTGTTTGTTTGTTTTCTTTGCAGTACGTGGGCCTCTCACTGTTGTGGCCTCTCCCGCTGCGGAGCACAGGCTCCGGACGCACAGGCTCAGTGGCCATGGCTCACGGGCCCAGCCGCTCCACGGCATGTGGGATATTCCCGGATGGGGCACGAGCCCGCGTCCCCTGCATCGGCAGGTGGACTTTCAACCACTGCGCCACCAGGGAAGCCCTGAGGGCTCTCTTTAGATGGCCCACTTCTCCCTTTGTCGTCAGATGTCAGAAAGAGAGAGAACTCTCTGGTGTTTCTTCTTATAAGAACAGCAATCCTATCAGGTCAGACCCTTATGACCTCACTTAACCTTAATTACTTCTGTAAAGGTCCTGTCTTCAAATACAGTCACACTGGGGGTTGGAGCTTCAACATATAAGTTTGGTAAGGGGACACAATTCTGTCCATAACATAATCTCTAGGGTGTGTATATATATATATATATATCTCAAGCTAATACTAAAGGGATAAATGATGTGAAAATAATTACTTCAAAAGAAAACAAAGAAGGTGAGGCAAATAGAAAAAGAAATAGAAACATTGTAGATTTAAACGTAAATATGAGGGAATTCCCTGGCAGTCCAGTGGTTAGGACTTGGTGCTTTCACTGCCATGGGCCCAGGTTCAATCCCTGGTCAGGGAACTAAGATCCCGCAAGCCATGCGTCGTGGCCAAAAACAAAACAAAGCAAAACAAAACTAAATATGTTAGTAATTAAATCAAATGTAGATGAACTAAACATTGCCATCAAACTACAAAAATTGACAGACAGGATAAATAACGGAAAACCAACTACATATTGAGACACACCTTAGGCATGAGGATAAGAAAGGTATAAAGTGCAAAGATGGGAAAAAATACTCCATGCAAACAATGACTAAAGAGGTTGTTGGAAGGCAGAAATATCAATATTTCTAATGTGACCTCACAAATTTGCCACTATCGATAACAGTTAATGGAAAATGTATTTTTCTGAATTTTATTGGATCAAATTGATTGTTCTCATGTCTTTGAAACTAGTCATTTTCTTAAAGCAGGATCACACTCTGACATACCCACATGCCATCCGTATTCAAAGAGTCAGGTGCCAGGAGCCTCCTGCCATCCTGAAAACCATTCTGTTGAGTCTGGCAGTCTGTGTGTATGTAGTGTGTAGGCATTCGAAGCTTTCTTTCCATTCACCCCAAGTTTGTTGAGCTTTGCCAAAGGTCAGGTTCAGTGTTGGGCAGTGCCTGTCCTAGTGGAGCTCAAAACTCCAGAGAGAGATCGGCATGTGTGGATAGGACCCCCAAATATCTGAATGTGCACTGTAGCAAAGGCACGGGAACCTGATGAGAAAGGGACTCATTCTTCCTGCGGAGTTCCTTTCTCCCTTCCTCAAATATTCATTGAGCACCTACTATGTCCCAGGCTCATTAACATGTTTTTTTTTTTTTTTCTGACCTAAGACCCATATTCTTGCCAAAAAACTATGTCATCTTTTTTTTTTTTTAAAGTGGGGAAGATTTTTCTCCCCAGTCAGTGAATTTTGTGAAATATCTATAAATTAACAGCAAACGGGCAAATACAGAGGCCGAGGCAGGAAAAACAGGAAAGGAAACCAGCACTTATAGAGCCACCATTGTTTGTTCTCTCACTGATCCCCATAATAACCTAATTTGGGAGGTGTGGATACCCTTTACAGATTGGAAATTCAGGCACAGAGAGGTTAAGTAACTTGCTCTAAGGCCCCAGCTTACAAATTGAGGAGCTGATCTATAGACACCAAGTCTTTTGACTCCTGGTCCAGTGTTCTTCCTGTACCAGGCAGCTGAGTAATAGGTGTCCTAGAGACCTTCTTCACTCGCGGAGCCCCTGGGCTTGGGGGTGGCGTTTGTGAAGCAACGTGAGGAGCCTGGGGGAACACATTTCAGCCTCTGTGTCTGCTATGCTCTCAGGTTGAAATGCCCAGCTGTCCCACGTGGGGTTGGATGCTGGTGCCTCCTCCACCCACTGCGCACCCCTTGGCCTCCCTATATTTGGGACTTTGCATCAGCCTGTCATCTACTGACAGGTAATAAGATAGAGCATTTGAAGGTGGGTGAAGGCCTTTGTCTTTGTGGGTGATCCTCTCGTCATCAGGGTCCTAGCATTTTCTTGACAGTTTCCAGAAGGTTCTATACTCATTAAGAACTGGCATTTGCATAGATGGCTCTGGTGCAAGGTGTTCACCTAGTCCTTTGGGCCAATAGTGTAGCTTCAGAAGCAGACAGGAGAAAAGCAAAGAAAAGACTATTCACAGGTGTCTTAGTCTGCTCAGGCTGCCTTAATAAAATACCATAGACTGGATGACTTAAACAACAGAAATTTATTTTCTCAAAGTTCTGGAGGATGGAAGTCTGAGATCAAGA